TCATACATGATGATTTGTTTACAGTATGATATGATTTTGTGTTTATAATATTGTTTCTTTCATACATGATGATTTGTTTACAGTATGATATGATTTTGTGTTTATAATATTGTTTCTTTCATACATGATAATTTGTTTACAGTATATCATTCTGTATTTATAATATTGTTTCTTTCATACATGATAATTTGTTTACAGTATGATATAATTCTGTATTTATAATATTGTTTCTTTTGTACATGATAATTTGTTTACAGTATGATATAATTCTGTGTTTATAATATTGTTTCTTTCATAAATGATGATTTGTTTACAGTATGATATGATTTTGTGTTTATAATATTGTTTCTTTCATAAATGATGATTTGTTTACAGTATGATATGATTTTGTGTTTATAATATTGTTACTTTCATACATGATAATCTTACAGTATGATCTAATTCTGTATTTATAATATTGTATCTTTCATACATGATAATTTGTTTACAGTATGATATAATTTTTATGTTTATAATATTGTTTCTTTCATATGATTGCTTAAGCATTACCTTAGTTGTATTATTCTTCCATAGTTATATTTTAATGATATTTTCCTTTAGTTGTTTTTTTTTCATACACGTTTAACAAGAGAGGTGTTTCACATAAACTTTATCACAAACTGGACACATAACCTAGGATCGGTTAGTTTTAGAAGATAAACTAAATATTGATATTTTTTTGATATATAATAAAAGCTGAAATGAACTTCTGATACAACATATTTATACTAGAAGGCTTTAGTTGATAGGCCTAAGCAACATTTCATGAAAGTACAATCTTATCACTCAAGCTTCAGTAGATAACATTCATGAACTGTTTCACGTATTTTCTTGTATAAAGTGTACATAGGTTTCTTTATTTAAATTACTGAATCTTTGCAAAAAATATTGTGATTCGATATTATGTACACCTACCCCTCCTGTTTATGGGTGTATAGAAAAGTTCTGTATACACACCCTTACTGAATAGTGTGTAGAGAAGTTGTGTATACACCTTCCTGTTGAAGGGTGTATAGAGAAGTTGTGTGTACACCTTCCTGTTGAAGGGTGTATAGAGAAGTTGTGTGTACACCTTCCTGTTGAAGGGTGTGTAGAGAAGTTGTG